GTTCTATCATTAACTGTATCTTCAGTGGTACTGTTGTCTATCTGTACAATGTTGTTCACTTGAAAATTTCAAGTATCGAGTCATGTAGGTAGTTGTTTCCTCATTTTTCCTGTTGGTATATTTAGGACCATCCATGAAAATGCTGATAACTTAAAACAATCCTAATTTATTTTTGTGTTGTCTTGGATGAGCTGGCAAAACCAAAATTCTGCCTCAACTTGGGTATCTCCCATGCAAATATAGTCTTTCTGGAGATTCATGACTGCAGAGCGAGGAAGATGTTCACATGTTGTTTTACCCCTGGAAGAAAATTCCAGAAATAAGCCTAGAGTGTCAAAAGTGACTTATCCTGTGATTTATCATACAGGGGTTCGGTTTCATAGAATTCTTCCAGAATTTAAAGTTTCTCACTCGTGTGGAGTCCGAAAGTGCTTTGATACTGTCATCAAGACCCAGAAAAGCAGCCTAATGCTTCTGCAGAAATCCATGAATTAGGATTGAACTCCTGTGTTAGACCCGAAGTGCTGCCTGCTGGCCTGTGTCTAAACTTAACTGTGTGTAATGATATAGGAGATAACTGCAGTAGGGATCCAGTGATCTGACTGCTGAATAGAAGGCTGTTAGGCAATTTAGAAGTAATTAACTTGATTTAAAAAGGTGACAGTTACCATGTCCAGAGGAAAACTTGGTTAGGGAATGCTTTTCTTACAATAAATGTGATATTCTTTCTCTCTCTCTCTCTCTCCTGTGTTTTAAATACTGTGCTACTGCATGTCTTGAATTTGCAAATGCAGTTGAGATAAACTGAAATATAAGAATGTTCTTCAGTTAGTAAGTCATTTAGGTGATTGAACTGGATCTTAAATATGTCTGGTAATTAAATAAGAAATTTATATAACATGAAAAATATTGGACTAAATGTTTATCTAAATATTTTATGCAGGGACTATACTACCTTCACAGTAAAGGAAAAATGCACAGAGATATAAAGGTAAGTAAAAACTGAAGGGAATTTTGATGTTTTTAAAATAGGCTGTATCACCTCTGGTGGGTCTGTACTGTTACATATCAATTTGGGGGATATTTTTAAATATGTAGGTTTTTTTCTATGTATTAGAATAAAATAATATTTTTCTGCCCAAGGGAAGGGGGGGAGGGGAGAAATCTTTCTTTAAAATGCATGCATGGAAATAGTTTGTTCTTTTAATTGGAGCCAAACATATTATTTATTTAGACCAGTGCTGTAAAATTTAGGCATCAGCTAGTGTGCAGAGCAGCATGTGTTCAGATGGCGGTACGGTGTGCTCTGTGCAGAACGAAAGCTTTGCTCTTACCCACACCTTCCCAAGAAGCTCAACGTTCCCTTCTCTTTGAACCAACTAGTGAGCAGAGCTGTTGCCTTGGCTTCTTGCTTCATTTCTTGGTGAGCAGATAGAACTGCATAGTTCTTGGAGATTACTTCTGTCCCTTCCTTCACATGCTAAAATTAGAGAGGGTACCATAAATCAGGCTCTTAACTCTGACTTATTTAAACCTTCGTCTCAACAAAGCTGTATCAAAGGTGGCTTGTTCAGACTCTTACGCTCTCTGTTCGAGTTTCCTTCTGCTGCTTCCTGTTGACTTTTTGTCTCTGGAGTTTTACTACCTACTCTTTGCCTTTCCAAAATCTTCCTTGCTCAGATTGAAGCTTAAACTTCTTAATCCTGGAAAACTGACAGTAAATTATCATATTCCTTTGTGTTGTGTGGGGGGTTGGTTTTGTTTGGTTGGGGGTTTTGGTTTTGGTTTTGGTTTTTTTCCAGATTAGGGATGCAGTGTACGTAGTAGCTTCAACTGTAGATGCTGTAGTGCAGTCTGATTCCAAGTTGTCCTCATTGACTGCAGGATATTTGGTTTTTGAGCCATCATAAAAATAACTTCTGAATGAAAAATTACTTTGGACACAAAAATTAAACTTTTTTTCTTATATTTTATAGAATGCAAAATGATGATTGTAAGGATACAGTGCCTAGATACTTGTTTCTAAACAGAACTGTGATGAGAAAAAATACTTAGAGTGCTTATGTTGAGAATTTTTTTTTCTTTTGAAAGCTGTTCTCACGAGCATGGAAAAATACTATCTTCATCTGCAGAACTCCTGGTGGTTTAATTATGTTTGCTTCCCTCAGTAGCCAAGTTATGTATTTAGAGTATCTGTTAATCTTGAAAGGTGAACAAGGTCAAAAGCATGTTAACTGGACTGTCACACTATTTACCAAGCTCCATTTGTAAGGCTCATTAACTATATTTGTGCAAGAGTTGCCAAAGTAAGCTGCATTTTACTGCGGGATTGACTTTTCCTTCTCTGTGAAAAGCCATAACCTGTAAAAACATCATTTTTTGGAGGCCCATCTGTGCTGCCTTTCCATCTAGTGTATGGGCAGTGCTGATGTTTGGAGCCATGTTTAGCCAGCTCCAGCCTTTGCTCAGCTCAACCTGTGCCTGGTTTTAGTCTTCAAATCAGGTTTGTTCTCAGTCCTTTTATGGCATCATTTTCTAGTACCAGCTGCTGCTGTGGGTTAGTTTTGATTATTGAGCTGAGTGGTGCATATACGCACACAGCAGTGACCTCTTCAAATCTACCACTAACAGAACCTCTGTTGTCTAAGGACGGAAATAGTTTTGCTAAACACTTGAATATCAAGGCAGGTCCTTAAGGCTATAGTTATAAATATCATGGCTCTCAAACAAGACAAAACCAGCTCCTACATATGAAAAGAAAATGAAATTATTTCCGCTTTGACCTTTAGAGTTCCTGTTTCCTTTCAGTCAGTGTAAATAAAAAAAAAAAGTAAGAATTAATTGGCACAGACAAATCACCGTATTCTTCTTTTCGAGAGGGTTTTGTGTGCAGTGCAAACTCTGCAGTGTCATAGTCGAAAGAGTTCTAAACTAAAATTAATGAGAAACCCTGTATATCCAAGTTTCTTTATGTAACAGAATGGCAACTTGCTGATTTCACAAATATTTCCTTGGTAAGACTGCAGATTCTTGAATACACAATCCTTGGTTTGTCTTTTGCCCCTAGTTTGCCATAGGATCTGACTGAATTTTTTTGATATGGTATTGTAAGAATCTGCATGTTTTAATTTAAGTATGCTTGTTTTTTTTTTTAAGGGAGCAAACATCCTTTTAACGGATAATGGACACGTAAAATTAGGTGAGTTAATACAATTCAGAGTTGCTGACAGATTTTGATGTGCTCTAAGAAGCTGTATTTGGTTGAATGATGTAGTGGTTCAGATAAGGAATTGGTGAATATTGTAATTATTTTTCTCTTACTGGTAATATATAACTGCACCATCCAATTAGTGTCTGAGAAGTAATTGGAGTAGTTTTGGAACACTGAGGTAAAAGACTTTCTGATGTTGTAAGGAGGAGGTAAAAACAAATCACAGGTTTTTGTAAAATTTTAATAAAATATACCATCCACAGTGCTTAAGTGTGAAATGTACCTTGAAAGTTTATGTGAAATAATCTCTTGGATAATACTAAATTATGTGTTTTATCCTATTAAAACACTGTATATAATTCTTAGGACTTCTGTGCTAGCCTGTTCTTTCTTGTGTTGGATGAGGCGCATGTTTGTGTGTAGCACACATTTCTGGCAGGCAGCTGAGAGGAGCTGACCTGTGGTATCTGAGAACCACCAAGTTTCCATTATTTGCTTTTGTTATTTATTTTTTTGTTAAATATTTCCAATATATTTAAGAAACTCTTACAGTGAGGAAACCAAACTTGTGTTCATTAACAGTTAAGGATAGCAGATCAGTTATTAACTGTCACTTTGGTTTTGCCTTTTTTTTTTTTAATAGCTGATTTTGGAGTATCTGCACAGATAACAGCTACCATTGCAAAAAGGAAATCGTTCATTGGCACCCCATATTGGTAACTGTGTTTTACTTGGCCATTAATATAATAGTAACATATATAATGCTGTTGGAAAATTGTGATAAAAGCATGGTATGTCACTTTCTGGGTAGACTAATCACTAAAGACTATGTCAGGCTTTCTAGTGATTGTAGTTGTATTACTTATGCTAAATCCTGAATTAGCTGAGTATCAGAGAAAATGTTCTAATGCTCTGAAAAACTAAAAGGCTGCCTGTGTGCTGCTGTTGCTGTTGAATGATGTATCTCAGTGTAGTCAAACTTTAAAACTATCAACAATTTTGCTTGGTTTTTAACTCTGATCTTAATTTTTCTTTTCTTCCCTGATTTTTCTGCTTTGATGTTTTATGTTTCTTCCCCTCCACCCCAGATACATCTTTTCTGCAACTCTTCAGTTGATAATGAGTTACATTTGTTTGTCTCCACAGATTCTTTTGCCACTTGTGAAACATCCGTTTTCTTTTTTTTTTCCTTATTTACCTAAATTGATTGAATTCAAATGTACATTTCTATTTTTTCTGTACTGTGTCTTTATTCTTCCCTCAGTAAACTAGTTTACATCTTTGCTAAAGTTCAGCATTTTATTTTCTCCTCTTTGTACTACAAGTGGTTGCTCCCTTTCGCCTTGAAGTAAATGACTTGCATTTTACACTGTAAAATAGCGCTTTTGTTGTGTGTTTCCCAAAAAGATACTCAAAAACCTGTTGTCTACAGCACAGTAGGTACGAGATAAAAATGTATATAATGAAAAAACCCTGACATTCAAGTATTCAGTCTTGAAATAGTCAAGCACAGCATTTTTAGCATTCTTCTGCAGTGTAAGTCATGCCAAGGCATGGATTCACTTCCCCTTCAGAATAACACAAACACCCATCAGTCATGATTGTGTAATTGGTTTGTGTCTCTCTTTCCTAAGATGTCTGGGTGACTTTAGTCCTGGCTGGTATCACTGTGTAACTTCCAAATTGTGCCAGACTTCTCAAATGTCATGTCATAACTTTAAACAGTAACTTTGAAAACATTACATAGGCTAAGTGCTGATGAAAAAACATCAGTTTTTCTTTGCAAAGCTTCTTGGAGATTTGAGAGGAGAAGCAAGGAAGCAAAATTGTTGAGACTGTGGAGGAGAAAATTTAGTTAGAAACAGGCAGTGTGAAGGTTTTAGTGATCATTAATGATGTCTGGGCAGGTAAGACTGTGGTGCTTGGGTGGGAGAGAAATTAAGGGCCAAACTGCTGTGCGTTGTCTTTAGTTGTAGTAACCCTGCTGTTTACCCTTGTGCTTCTCCTCCGTGTCTTTCTAAAGTTAACCCATGCTCCCTCTCTACTTAGTAACTCACAGAATCACAGGAGTTGGAAGGGACCTCTGGAGATCACCCAGTCCAACCCCCTGCCAAAGCAGGTTCCCTACAGCAGGTTGCACAGGATGGGGTCCAGGCGGGTTTTGAGTGATTTAGAGTGATGGGTTTTTTAATGGACTCTCAGAGAAATGTATCTAAATGTAGTTTAACTGTGCAAACTTGAAAGGCATACACCTAAGGATGTCTGTGTTTAAAGAACACATCATTTGAGATTCTGTGTGCTGCTTTACTGGAACGCTCATTAAGTGATATTAATCTCTTACCTATATTGAGTTACATCCCCAGTTCCACTGCTACATTTCAAGTGTTCTGGACTAATAAAGTTCAAAGCCAAAAAAAAATCAACATTTGCCATCTGATATGCCTATGTAGGACTATCAAATCCATAATTCACTTTGGCTGTTCAAAACATGTGATAGTGCCTATTTGTGTGTCAGTTGTGTTTGTTAATTTTTGCCTCCTGACGATGTGAAGCTACTTTGTTAACTTACGGGGCCTTCTGACATTGCAGTGAGGCAGACCTCACAAACTCCACAGAGGTGACAACGAGTCTTCAAGTCTCATGCTTTGAGGATACAAGAAAACTGACCTTTTCTTTTGATTTTTTTGGGGTTTGGTTTTTTTTTTAATAATTCTTCTCTTCAAAGTCAGGTGGTCACTTTCTGGGGCAATATGTGAATTTGGATATTACTCGGATTTTACAGTAGTTGAATAATTATACCTTAGCCTCTTTGCTTGTTTAGTGGTAGTTCTTTGTGTGCTTGCAAAAAAGTCTGAGACAAAATGGTTTCATCCAGTTAACTGCTAAACAGCTGTTTTAGAAACTGCCATCGGTTACTAGAAGGTGATTAAGGAAAACTTCATCTATGCATTATGTAACTTTACACACATGTGTGTACATATCCACATGTATGAATGTATATGCTGTGGGCTTATAGGTTGAGAGCTTTAGGGAAAAGAGTAGTAAACTGCTGCGTACAGTTTATGTTACATTATGATTTGTGGCAAGAAGTTTATGTTTGATTTGTGGCAAGAAGTTTATCTAAAAATGTCTTTTACTCTTTAGGATGGCGCCAGAAGTTGCTGCAGTAGAAAGAAAAGGTGGCTATAACCAGCTCTGTGATCTGTGGGCAGTTGGAATAACTGCTATAGAGCTTGCTGAACTTCAGCCTCCAATGTTTGACCTACATCCAATGAGGTAGTAAGGGGTTAAAGCTTGGTGTGTAAACACAGCTTTGTAAATAATCCCTTTGGAGTAGTGGCTGTGTGTGCTTGTTGTGTTTGGGGATCCTGCAAGGGTGTTGGGTTCCAAGTGTTCTGAATGTACATGACAAAAATTGTAACAACTCTTTTTGGTGCATAAATGTGTAATGTTGTCCTGGTAGCAACTTTTCAACTGATACACTCCTTTCTGCCAACTAAACAGTGTATTTAGTCATTTATATTTATTGCAACGTAAACCGCAGAAATATGGTTGGTTTTTTTTTTAGAGCACTTTTTCTGATGACGAAAAGCAACTTCCAGCCTCCTAAATTAAAGGACAAAATGAAATGGTAAGTACTTCTCTGTTTCAGTAGGTAATGATCATGTATTTCAGTAGACAATTGATTCTAATGTTTACCACTTCATTTTACAGGTCCAATAGTTTCCATCATTTTGTGAAAATGGCACTTACAAAAAATCCTAAAAAAAGACCTACAGCTGAAAAGTTACTACAGGTATAAATTTGTGTATGGGATTTTTTTTAAGTTATAAAATTAAAATATGCTTAATATGAGAGGTTGGAGTTGTAATACTTGTTTTTTGTTCTGTCTTTCAGCATCCTTTTGTCACCCAGCCATTAAATCGAAGTCTTGCTATTGAACTTTTGGATAAAATGAATAATCCTGATCATTCCACTTACCATGATTTTGATGATGATGATCCTGAGGTAGGACTATGTTTTAATCATAGAATCAGATTAAGTTTTTGTTTGCTGACAAAACTAAATGATTGTGATTTATTGAGCCACAGAATGTTTTGTGATCTGGGAATAGTTTCAAGGGTTGCTTTTACTTTTGGTTGTGCTGCTTTGTTACATGTACAGGCAGTTACCAAATTAATTGTATTTGTGGGAGAGAAGCTCAAAGAGAAAGACATGTTAACACTTTAAAATTTTGTTTATTATTGTCCTTCAACAATTTTACAACAGTGATGTAGACGACTACTCCTGAGATCTGTCATACTCTGTTTTCTATTTCTTTGTGGAATTATGTTTCTGTTCATATGCAAAGAAAACATTCATAAGAATCATGTTATACCTCTGTAGAACTTGTTCTTGTGTTCCTAACTTACTTTCTAATGAGAAGATAACGATTCTGTAGTTGTCTTTGTCAAATGCTTTCCTATTTTTCTTGCAGATTGTATTTTCTGTCTTAGAATATTCTGAAACTTGATTTCACTTACAGTTTTGTCAGAGGCAAAGTTTCTGGTTTTCTGCTTTAACAACTGGTAAAAAATAGCATGCTTGTGCAAGATGATCAACACCACAGGACTGAAGTGTTTCATAAATACGAGAAAACAGATACTCCGTTACTGCATCCTGTCTTCGTACTTAATTGTATGTTAGTGAAGACTTTCCAAATGTTTATGGTTCCCTAACTGATGATCTTTTTTTGGGAGAAAAAAATTAATCATTTCAACACAGATGCCATTGATTCATTAATTGCATACTTAGGTCTTACTTTTTTTTTCTTAATGTACAAACCAGTCCAAAAATGCCTTCAAAGGAAAATAATCTTAAGAGACAACTATTTAAGATCACGATTTTCAGATTTTACAAGTTAAATGAGCTTTTACCTTCTGAAATGGCAAAGACAAGTTGACATGCACCAAGTCTGTCTTCCTTAGAAGTTGAAATCAATAAATGTAGAAAGAAGCCACAGTGAAATAGGTTGTTTTTTTTTCTGTTGTAGAGTGGAATGTTTATGGATTTCCTAAGTGAGAGGGAAGGAGAAGGCATAAGGATTGAATAACCAGTACTTCTAAAAGCAATTGCAAATAGTGGAGCACACTTAGTAAATTTTTCTGGTTTTTTTTTTTAAATATTTAGGTAAGTTAAACACACAAGAAAACCCTTAATGTGGTTGACTTTCACATCAGTGTTAAAAGAAGAGTGTCTGGTTGCTGATGGATACAGCACTGAGGAACTCAGATCTTCTCCTCAGCATAAGCTCTAAGGATCAGGTGTCCTTTAGTTCCCTGGCTGTTCAGTGATAATAGAGAGCTCTGAGGCCTGCTAAAGCAGTATTTCTGTAGAAACCACAAACCCAAAGCTTTCATGAGCTGTCTTAAGAAGAAAGGTAGCTGTTTTCAGTGTGCTTCCTGGGAGTGATCTGCTCAGATCAGAGTAGCTTGCCCTGCTTTCCTGGAAATTGTACAGAAATCCTGATGTGACATTCTCCTGTGTCACTGGTATATCTTTTTGGCAAGAATCTTGACCTACATTTTGGGCTGCTCAGATGGAAAATCTCTTCTCTTCCTGTATGGAGTCACTTCAGTACACATTGTATTGACAGTTACTTGTAACTTTCAAAATAGTGTTTGCTCTTTCATGTCCTTTCTGACTTAGCATTCAGAAGGCTCTTCTGTTGTCTGGTGTATTACTCATCAGTTATCCCACAACGAAGTGTGCTGTTGGGGGAAAAAAAGCTATGACTTGTCTTGGGAGACAATTAAGAGGAAACAACCTCATAGCAGTGATAAGAGAAAATGCATAATTTCATCATTTATAAAGGAGCTGGACTGGCTGACAGTATGGAGGACAAGCAAGCTGCTTGCGTGTCTTCTGATATCCAATTTTTCAGATGTTAGTTCATTTGGTTTTTTATCTTACGTTACTGAGGGTTTCCTGCTGCATTTGTGGGCTTCTGTGCTAGTCATAACGATGCTTCTCCATCGTTGCTCATCATATGGCCTTGAGCTCTCCAGTGAGCTTCAAACACCATTAGCTGTGGTGCTGACTCACTTTCATTGGATAGACAACTTAGGGGAGAAAAAGAAGAGACATCTAACAGTGTTGCCAGATAACTTTTCATTGAGGCATTTAATCCACCTGCAAAATGCAGTTGATAGTGACACTTGAGAATATATTTTATTTTGTAATAAGGAAGCCTAGAATCCACCCCTGTGAATAAAGCAGATGATAATGATTTATCCAATGCATCTTGAGCAAAGTCTGTATTTCAGATGAAGAATCCTGCCACAGGCAAAGCAGGTGTTATCTTTAGGGTCTTTTTTATAATAAACCAAAGGGAATAAGAAGTGTACTTGCTCCTTTCATACACAGTTGAATTTGCTCCAGTACCTGCCTGCTCGCAGAGGTAGTTGGAGATGTTCATCCGAATTTGGGGATTGACCACTCCTATTCCTGTGGCCATCACCTGAATGCATCCATCAAAAATTGAAAGAAGCAAAATAGTAGAGTATAACATAACAGGGTACAAACAACACTGGTGAGAATCTTGAGCTTCAGACCTGCTCCCCAGTTTGTTTGGAGTTGGGGGTGTTGGTGTTTGTGTTTTGTGGTATTTGGGTGGATTTTTATTTTTTTTTCTGGAGGCTAGAGGACTTTTCTGGCTATCGGTGGTCTTTGAAGGCAAGTCTGCTGCCTACTGTGATGACAGATCTTCACCTGGCCTATGGTGCTTTTATGAGGATGCTGTCTGTTACTGCTTGGATAGTCTGCAGAGTTGTGTAGGTGAGGTAGAGATTAAGAGGTAATTAGCCAGCTCTTTGAGGAGTGCCATACTACATCTTTAAATCATTCTAAAGTCAGACAAAGGTGAAATGTTTAATATGTAAAAACAAAACTAAAAACATGCAGTCGGGTTATATGGGTATAATCAGAAAGGTCTCCCCTTGATACAGTCATTTTTCATTTGGCAGCACTGTCTGTAACTGACATTTTGAGTATTTTTCTCTGCCCCAGCTCATGGAGGACCCCATTTGGTTCTCCTTTCAGTCAAAGATAGGATTTCCACATAAGAATGTGAATATTTGTTCACATAAGAATAAACCTTTGGAGGTCTTGGCAGCTGCCTGTTCACCACACTTCTGTGCTAGTGACTCTCATGATAGATGGGATAGCTGAAAAGGTTGCAAAGAGGAAAGTGCTGATATTTTATCCTTGGCGCACTAAGTTTTGGGGATAATATTGCTGTTGAGTTGTGCACCGTGATTAAATTTGTGCCCAGATGACACTTGTGTCTGGAAGTTAACCTGCATTCCTTTGTCCTCTTACACAGCTCAGATGTCAGCTGTTTGTATCGCTTCATTGTCAGCGTAGGTCTTTCAAGGTGACTTGAGGACTTTGTCCTCGTGACCGAGCGATGAGGATTTGACTCCTTCCAGTAATTCTGTGATCATGGAGGAGGAGGTGTGAGGGCAGGCTCTGCCTGTTGTGTAGCACAGACATCTGTGGCAGGATGCAAGGAACTCGCATAGTATAACACTTCCCACCTCTACTCCAGTCAGGCTTCTGGTGCTGGCATTACAGATGTGCACACATCGTGTGGAAGTGGGCAAATGCCTCTTAACAAAAGATTATAAATAAGCAAACTTTTAGCACTTGGAGTGTTTGAAATACTGAAATAGAAAACCAGATCAAACTTTGAAACACATCCTGAGCTATAGCAAACCATTTTTAAAGCTCAAAAGAATGCACAATCAACAAACTGGAACTGAGGGAGAGGAGGATTGGCATAAGTTACAAGAAACAACAAAACCTGCTATGAGATATGTAGGAGAAAATACATACCCACAGTCTGTGAGTTTTTCCAGTTTCATAAAAGACCAAAGTGAACATAAATGTACATGTGTGTTGGATCCTAATATAAAGCAAGGAGGTAGTGCGTGATGAAAAGCGGAGAGAAATAATTATTTCAAATAATATTTTGAGGATAAATAGAGTTGCTGAGCTATTCAAGACTCTTTGTGCTAGTACAGCAGTTGAATTTCTCTAACTCTGTCATCACTTCATAGTCAAAAGTTGCCAAGTGGTGATTATAATCAGTATATATAAATGCAAAACTAATATACCAGCACATCAAATTTGTTTAAATTAAAAATTGTTTTGCTGTCACATACTCAACACAAACATAGCAAACATGCTTCTCAGAGATGGCTTGGGCTAGGATTATGGAGAATGAACTTTTTTTTCTAAAAGAGTAAGATTTTATTGCAGAGGACGTACTGAGAGCACAGTGTTGCTAATTTTGGGGCGTCTCAGAGATGTCTTGGGCTAAGATTATGGAGAATGAACTTTTTTTTCTAAAGAGTAAGATTTTATTGCAGAGGACATACTGAGAGCACAGTGTTGCTAATTTTGGGGCCTGATGCGTCCAGCAGTTAGCTGGTCTGGTATTCTTGTTAAGAAACCTAAAGGTACAGTTTCTAAGAGAACCTGCAGTGGTGGCTGTAGAAAGAAGAACAAAAATCCAACAGGGGCAATGGAAAGAAAGCCAAGTCTTAAAGTTCATGAAACTTCATCCTGTAGAGAAGGAAATGGAAATCCAAGGAAAAGGTGGAAGTGGAACATAAATATGAAGGTGAATTTGTAGAAATGATGGCATCGCTCTTGCTACACAGCACAAGAGCACCAAGAATACTCCTTTCTGTTCAGTTCTGAAAACCTCAAGCTAACTTCTGATCTACTTCAAGAAACTAATTGATGAGTACTTAGGAATTGGTTTAGGTTAGAAGCAGGGAACATGATTGGGGTATCTAAACAAAGGAAATGCTTCCAGTAAGTAAGATTTAATCTTACTGCTTATTTTGGGAACTACCAATAGCCTTAAGCTGAAAAGCACAAAAAAGGAACTCTTATCTGAGCAAAGACAAATGCTGGCCAGTGTTGTCTTTATTTGCTCAAATCCAGTGTTTTAAAAACTTTTATCTTGAAGTTGAAGACATTCTACAGACAAAATGTCTCCAAATAATTATAACTTTAATGTACAAAAACATACGTGCAATCTTTATTTTTAGCTTCAACTTGATTTCTTTCTTTCTTTTTTGGTTTTATACTAAAGAAATCTTCTAAAACTAGGTACACAATACTGGATTTCAAGTGAGTATATTTTGGTATTGAAATATTTTATTTTTCTCTTTTAGCCTCTTCTAGTGCCACACAGAATTCATTCGACAAGTAGAAATGTGAGAGAAGAAAAGACACGCTCTGAAATAAACTGTAAGCATGTGTAATATGACAACATGAAATATTCTTAAAATAATCATTGATACTCACTTATTTCAACTGGCATCCTGGGTATCTGACATAAATATATTTTTCATGATATATAGGAAAATAAAAACTTGCAGCTTTTTCACTTATGGATAAAGGTTCTAGGTGACTATGCAAAAGAAATGTTAGTATAAAATATTTTAATACACCCTTTGTCAACACTTCACTATTGCTTCATCTTCACTGAACAGCACACAACCTGAGCTCTTCTGAGAGCTGATAGGTATAGCTTCATATGCCAGCTCAGCAAGGATATTTCGAATTATGTCAGATTATGCTTGGTAAGAGAATGGCAGAGGAAAATTCTTCTTCCTTAATGTAGTATCTTGTTATAGTTCCTGCTTTTGAATTGAAGCAGTCATATAGAAATCGGGAAAGGAGGAGGTTGATCACTGGCCATCAAAAGCAGACTCCATCCCCACAAACTGTAGTCCTTCTTTTGTTTGAATTAAATCAGAGCAGTACCTGGAGCTTTAGTTGTCTTGTCTTAAACTAAAACTGAGGCGAGGAGCATCAAAAAGTATCTGCCAAAGAGCTGTCCTAGGAGATGCAGTTACCTCTCTCCAAACTTCTTTCAAGGCTCTTTAGAACTAGTGAATCTCCCAGAAGAACAGATCCAAGAGTGAATTCACACAACAGATATGTTTTTTCTATGAATTACAACTGTATTTCTCCTCTAAAGAAGGCACTTTATGACCTTAGTTGCTGCATGGTTTTCCTCATCCTTCTCATGAGTAGGTGGGACAGATGGTGATTGTGCTGCCTTTGTGATAGCAAAGTACTTTCTTTGCTCATATAGTTTCTAGAGGGCACAAATTCAGTATGTGCAGTGTCAGAAGTTTCCATCAGTGAGGATATGATACACTCATTAAACAGGAGTTTTCTTTTTTATTAGCCTTTGTAGCTAAATTTTGTCTAATTACAGTCCAACTTAAATTCTTGTTTTCCTTTTTTTCCTTCTCTTTAGTTGGTCAAGTAAAATTTGATCCACCCTTGAGGAAAGAGACAGAGCCACATCACGAATTTGTGAGTATCTAGCAACACGGGCTATGCTCTGCACATTATTACCTGCAAATACCTGTAGAGGAGGAGAAATCCAAGATGGGTAGCATACTTCCTTAGCACTACTAAACTTGGTAGCCATTTTTCTGACAAGTCCTAAACATATAACATATTGGTCCTAAAATTTTGGTGCCATTACACCATATGCAGCAAGATGCCTTATTTGTAGGCTCTGCCAAGTGTGATGTATGTGCTAAGCAACAGGCCTCTGTCTTGTTGGTTTCTTCTATCCTTTACCTCATAGACAAGTATCTCATTCCCTTTATTTATAGAGTTATTTTTTAAATTGTAGAATTACTGTGCATACTCAAATGATTCTCTCCCTTGTGCTTGTATTGACAATGACTGATAATGGAAATAATAAAACTGAGAGCCTGGGAAAGAGGTATGATGCATTTTTAAAAATTGGATTTTTGGGGAGTTATTTTCCCATGCAAACAATCTTTCTATGGCCCTGCATCGCACCTGAGTTTGTCACTTGAAGTGTTCTGTAAAGGTCTGTTTCCAATGTTTTCTTCCTATGGACCCCTCAGTACAAGGGGTATAAGAACTTGAGCAGTGAGGGAAGAGGCATCCGTGCTGCCTCACACACACGATTGCAGTAGCTTCCTCTCTTCTATGGAGACTGTTGCTTTGTGCATTTGTGCACTTGGGCAGTTTCTTCACATTCCTGGAAGACACTCCTTTGTTTCCTTACTGCAGACTTCTGTGTTCTCTTTGTTTTTCTAAGGCAGGTGTTAAGGTGAAAAAGTTGGCTTAGTACATAGGTGGGAGGGACGTTGTCTTTGCTCTGAGTTGGTTTTGGGAAGGGTGTGTACCAAGGAATGTCCTTCCTCTTCTATAGTCTACAAACCACAGGAGTGGGATTTCTGATGCAGATTTCCTTGTACTGCTGTGCAGTTGTACTGAAATCTCCTTCCTGGTGCCTTGTCCTTTGGTAGTGAGTCAGCTGGCTCTGGCTATATGAGGTTGTATAAAACCTTGCTCTTCCTCAGCAACTGACTGGACAGGTAGCCTGCAGTTTTTGGTGACTGCTCAAGACAAAGGAGAATAGCTTACCAACTCACATATAGAATAGCTTACCAACTCACATATAGAACTCAGGCAGTTATTTCAGATATGTCATTTAGACCTTGACATAACTGCATAACAACATCATTTAGGAGCCCTGGTTATACAAATGTTTATTAAATATGGTAATGAAGTCAGTGTTCTACCATAAATTCATCAGTTAACTCAAAATGATTTTTGAACTGATTTCAAGTTACCCTGGCTTTGCTTCTCTGTTGCATTGTCTGGATTATAAAGAAAATACATTTGGTGGCATCATATAGTTCAAATTATAATGTTTTTGCTCCTTAAGAATTTTATTTATTTATAAACACACAGAATCATAATTGCAAAAACTTGTAAATGGAGAAGCTGAAGTTTTAAATACTTTACCCATTTCTTTCCTGTTTTATCAGTCACTGACTATACAAACCAGCTAGTAGACAACTTCCTGGAGCAGAGAGTCGTTTTCATTGCACATTAGGAACCCGAGTTGCTAAACTTGGGGAGAGATATTTTCTGCAGGGATTAAAGCACTACTTTTAAGACCTCTTCTTTGGCAGGTGTTGTCGGAAGGGAGACATTAAGTGTTTTCCTACCTTGTGCATTAGCAATCAAAACCTTTGCACTTTGGAATCTCAAAAGCTCTTATTGCTCCAAGAAGGGACTTGAACGATACAGATTAATTCTGCTGATAAGGAAATCTCTTAGTATTGTTTATTTCTGTCAGAGTTCGCATATTTGGAATGTGTCCAAAGAACTTGCCTCATCTCCCTGTCTATAAGGAAGATTTATAACTGCTTGTTTGGATTATTCTGAAGAGCCAAATTAACTGCTCTACTTCTTGTACCAGAATGAAGCATGCAGAACTGATCTGTCCTTTCCAGATAAAAGAGAACTATGATTTTTTTGAAAATTATGGTGTTGACCTTAGAGACCAAAGAAAAAACATATTAACATATTTTGTCTTTAGATATAGAACCAATAGACAATTGAAATTGGCATGTCAAATGCAAACAAGATCTAATCAAAGAATGGATGCTCTAGCAAAGCCTTAGCACAGAGCAGGCTGAGGGAAAAGCTTGTAACAGTGTACATGCTCTGGGAGAGAAAGTCTTTTAAATGGAAGCGGGACCAAGAGCTGCCTGTCTCTTCCTCCAGCAATAACAATGTAGATCCCTTTTCATGAAAGCAGTTCTTCTGACCCTTTTGTTTCTGTCTCACTAAAGCATGCTTGAACTTTATGCTTATTTAGTTATGGGTATGAGTGCACAAGCCAAAGGACTGGACCTCTGCAACATGATGAGTTCTTTTTGGTGGTGCACTGAGATATTGAACTGGTACGTGCATGCCTCTTACTGAGGCAGCTTGTTGCTCATTACCACAGCTCAGGTGATGAACAATAATTCATTATTTTGGTGTGATTTGGTAGTGTTTGGTAATGTGACCATACCCTTAGAGCTGTGTTTTCTTCCCATGCCAAGAGCTGTCTTAACATGATTTGAGTTTCAACTAATGTTCCTTTTTTAGCAAGAAAATTTCCCTTTCTGTATACCTGGCTTTCAGTCACAATGTCAATAACTTGAGTTTCTTGATCTCTATCTAATGAACAGCCTGACAGTAGCGATTTTTTGGACAATTCAGAAGAACTATACTACACTGCAAGATCCAATCTGGTATTTTTCATCTTATGCCTTTCTTTGTCAGTGTTAGTTTTGTCTTTGTTTTCCTTTTTCAAAGCTCGTGTTTTGTACTGTTGTTGTGCTGGTGTTTTCATCTGTGTAAAAACCGTTCAATATAAGGATTAGTCTATATGTGTATTTCTGTAATGTAGAAAGGAATTCTTAGTGTGTGCAGTATTGAAAGTATTTAACCTGTATACATGTTTAGTTGAATCCCTTTTATAGAAGGGGCTCAGTATTATGTGGTCATTCTAATTTCTTTAACTGCCATAGGATATTTAATCACCCTCCAAAAAATTAACAAGTTAAAAATAGAGGAGACATTCTCTTCATATTGTTGTCTGGTAGTTCCTTTAAATAGTCTTATGACAGACTATAAAATTACAGAAATGTAAGTCTCTGAATTCTCCAGACAGTAATTATGTTACAGAATGAATATACAAAACAACTTAATGCAAATAACAGAAAGTGGGGTCAGAAGTGTTTTCGATGGCATTTGGCATTGTTTATAGTCTGATATATTTTCCAAATTTTCTCTTACTGCACTGATGAAAAATTTGGTTGTTAGCATTGCAGTGTAGAAATTACTCTAGAAAGTGAGTTTTCTTATTTCTCCACTCTTTAGGCATTAAGTAGTTAGAAAAGTAATGCTTTTAAATCTTGGGACATCTTCATATACTGTTGAAAAAAATGAAGAAACATTCTGTACTAGTTGAAGAGCGTTATTCTGCTAATTTTCTTTGGTTTTTGAGATGTTTAATGTAAGTGCACTGAGGGGAAAATGGAAAACTGGGATGTTTGAGAATGTCTTGTTTTGTTTTTTATGTGATGATTTTTGTTTTGGATTTTTTTGTTTGTTTTGGCATCAGTTGGCTTGATGTGACTTAATACCATAGTTAATGAGAGCTTAGACTGTCTTCCACATTGTTGGAAGGAACTTCTTGTATTGCTTGATTATAAAAATGTTTCACAAACTGTTCTGAGATCGGTAGCTTAGGTTTCTCTGTGTACGGTCGGAACGCCTCCATCCTGTGCAACTGCTCTGCTTTCAGGAGTGTGGTTTTGGTTTTTCTTTTTGGTCTGCTTTTGGTTTTGTCTTTTCAGTTTAGTACTTTTTAAAACTTGGGTTTTTTTCAGGTTACTTTCAGTGTTGTCACTTATCTTGCTAGCCTAGTGTCTGTTCATCTAAGAGACAAATGAGAACATGTCTCCTAACTGGACTGTCCTTCCCCATCCTTCTTTTGCCCTGTGCTGGTCAATACACCCTTCAAAATTATTACTATGATAAAGCTTATATTGTTAAACTTACATTATTAAGATAACATAGCATATTATGTTATCTTTTGTTGTTATCTTACTATTGTTGTCACAATTGTGAGAGGATTTTTAAAGTCAGTTGGCAGCACTTTCTGCGCTTCACTACTTTCTTCACAACCTCCTGTACTCATTGTGAGTCAAAGAGGATAATTCTGATTTGGTGCTGGAGCTTCACCCATTTGTGAGATTTTTCTGGTAAGACCTAATCCTTCTGGAAATTAGAAGAAATGTTTAGTAGTTGGTTCATTCTTCTGTTGTGGACATATTAATAAGACTTTCTGTCTCTCTCCTTCCCCCATTCTCTGCTCCTGCTCTTGACAGTATTAGCTTCAGATACGGCCAGTGAGAAGTGATATGTGGATTTTTCAAATGTCATCAAGAGGAAAAGATCATACTTTTTCACAAGCATAATATATCACCTACTACTGTTGGGCTCTTTCCCATGCCGTTCTACTGGTTTTATACAATACCTTATGAACAACAACTCTTTTGCAGAGCTATGTGTCTCTAAGATCCTACAAAAAAAATAATTAGGGCAGCATGAGTCATAAAAGTTACACACTTGAGACTGAATGAAATTTGGGGTGTGAGTGGGAGCATCTTTACCTATCACCTAGCATTTCTTCCCTCTCACTCTGCCTCTGTGCTCCTGAAACAGCTGCCTGGATCTTCCAGAAGAATGGAGAAATTCAGTACAGGTCTTGTTTGTATGGAAAATTTAGTGTCCAAAATCCCTTCTTGCAAATGGCAAACAGACAAGGACAAGATAGTCATAGAATCATAGAACCATAGTACTTCTCTTTAATCTTCTACGAATTTACCCCTTTGACACATAATAAATAAAATATTTTGCTCTAGATACAAGGCTCTTCTCTTCTTCAGGATAGATCTTTGCTTCTTCTGCAACTAGACAACAAGTTTCTCAAGAACTTAC